TTTATGTTGATATTATATCGTTGACAGGTGAAGCTAGCTGTTAATAATACTAGTAACATTGTTAATTCTACGTATACCAGTGTGGGTGAAATTATATCCAACACCACTTCAAACATATAATACTCAGCACGGGTTGAATTAGTACAGCTGTGACACACTAGCTTTCGCGTTATTGCCCTATATATAACCCTTTCTAATCATAAATACATATCGTTCCACCCTCACGTGTTTGACATTACGAGTGTTTTATTCATGTTTCTACTTACTTATCAAACCCTCAGACCCATTGCACCCCATTTTGTTTTTGAACTATAACGTAATCATGTCCATTAAATGCGCAAGAAAGGTATAGATCTATATATTCAGAATATTATGGAAATTTCAATAACAGTCTGGAAACAGATTGAAGGACTACAAATCTTAAGTACGTTATACTAAACAACTTTTAGCCTCACCACTTCGTTAAAGTTTATGTCACCACGTACAGTCATGCTTTTTCTGGCAACCGTGTATCTCGACAACAGTTACGCAGCATATTTTACACTTCCAAAAGCTCTGTCGTAAGACTGTCATGTTCGTAGCCAACCACACCTTTTTGCCATTTTCCATAATCCATATAGCATTCTTAGGACGAAGGTTTCCCAGTGCCAGTTTGAAGTCGGATCGCACAGAAATCCATAGGGAGTACGTCTTGCGTTTTCATATGTAACAGATTGAAGACACGTTTTATTCTTCAGATGCTTTAGGTATGTGAGTGTTGAACAGATATTTTGTAGAAGCAATGTACACATGACTTGTAACGCTCTTCTACACGGAGATATTTCTTGATTATACTGTGTATTATGGCTTTGGACACGTGGGTATTTTTCCCACTAATTTTTGAGTTCCTGGATTCTAATGTCTTACAAATCTCCAGACTTTGCTTGCCACAGCTGGGCTATAACTTGTTGCACGGCTGTTTCTGGAAGGTCCTGGACAGCCAAGTTGATTCATATTATTTGTATTCTAATATAATTGAGTATAAATTATGCCTCCGTCTTGGAAGTATAGAATTCCTGACCTGAACACTCTTTATAATCCGAGCGTATGAAAATATTTCGCCGCAAAAGGTTATTAAATACCCTTCCAAAAGCGACCAATATGTGGTGGCCTCACGTTACTTACGAACGCCAAACAATGTTAAAATGTACTTTTGATACAATCCGTTTCCCCAAGACTGTATATCAGCTATGGTTGTCATGTGACTTGCTTGTTGCGTATTCAAAATAATTTTGATATAACGTACTTAACGCTGTGTATATAGTTTTCATAGTTTATTGCGTTGTCATGTCGAGACTCTACTAATCCTAACCCTACTATACATCTTGTTCCAACGTATGTTGCGTAGAGCTATTATACAAGGGTTCGGAAAAGAAATTAGAGCTAACTTGTAAGAATGTAGCGGATTAGAAAGTGAATCAAGTTGAAGGAAGAAAGTGACGCTAAATCTGAAACAGAATTAGAATAATCTGAGGATGAAGCACCATTGTGGTGATAGGCTCTGATTCCACAACTTCTGTGATAAAATGTTTCAAAGATAATTGTTTTTTCGGGTATTGATAGTAGTCTCTTTGTTTTCAGTTGCATAAATATATCACCGGTTGAACACAGTACTATTGCTTTTAGGCTGGAGGTGCATTTGCACCCCAGGTCGTAGAAGTAAAATGAAAAATGATGTGTTATACGGAAGTTTAAGCTTTGTTCAAATCTAAACAATAATGTTTTGCAATTTTTTGTTACTTGTATATATATGTTTATTTTTACATTTAAATACCTTGCAATGTTACGTTGAGCAGTCTCTAAATCAATTATGAATTAAAGTTGCCTCTTTTTTAATTATTCTTTTTGACTTAGCAGCTTTGGTAGAAAATGTATTTGCTAAGATTTGCTTTCTGATGTCCCTGTTTCTATAGATACTTCTGTTAATAACATTCATTTTCCAAAGAACTGCCGTTTTGGGGGAAGTAGACAATCCTGTTTCAAAAGTAAAACAAACTGATAGATAAAAAATATCATTAATTTTTCACATAGACTTATATGAAAAAAACTGATCTGTACAAATACAAGTTCATTTTGACAAGAAATAACAATATGTAATATTAAATTCAAATGTTAACTGACATTAGTCTCTATACGAAATATACTGGAATATCAGAAATGAAATTGCAAACACAAATGTAATATTAATTCCAGATAATAAACAATCTACCATATGAAACTTGAAATATATTTTTAATAAGCCTTACTGTTGTGATAACATTTAATGCTATTCAAAAGGAAATTGAAAAATACATATTCATATTGTAATTGGTTTCCTCAAATGTTCATGCACTCGAACATTGACAGACGTTCCGTTCGAATCGATATTAGATTTGAGAGAGAAAATTTATAGCAACTGTCAATGATAAACATCAAAACGTTAATATCAACTGACACTTTTAATTTAATTAGTCATTAAAATGTATTTGTTTGCGTTTGCAAATATGCAAAACGTAACAAAAAGTAGAGTTAGCTGTTACTATACTGTGAGTGGCATTTTCAAACACAGCTTTATATCAGTCATTTGATTTGTTTATTCTCATTCTTTCTCTTTTCATTCGCGAGTAAATATCAGGTTCAATTTATTTGTGATGTTTCTTCTTTGTTCTGTTTAGTAAACTAATACTTTGTGTGTAAAATCTGCTAATCAAATATTTTCTAATGCTCGTATTGTATTCCAAATACAGATTATCACAGCCTAATCACTGTATATATTAAATCGTTTATATTTCACAAGTTAATAGCATCATGGAAATTCCAAATTAAGTTTACAGTCTTCATATACAGACACACCCCAATTCAAGCTATAAGCATTTCGTTATGCTAGATTGCATTGTTGTTAAAACCAAAAGTTTTACAAAAGTCTTTTGTGGAAATCACATTTATATACTATGATTTCACAAACATGAGCATTTTAGTTTAATCAGTCTCAATTTATAGAAATGAGATCCGATTTTATATGTTAGTCTTCCAACCTTCTCGTAGTAACTCTGTTGTGAAAAATAACTAAGCTGGCGAACCTTTGAGGCTTTTTAGACCTAAACCAAAGACTCCTCGATAGATTATTTTCTTTGATACAATCAACATTTAGCCCTACTGATGTGAAATTTAAATCATATTACTTCAAGTATGTACCTTCACGAATTATGTCATTGAGAAAAAAGGAATATGTCTCCTCAAGGTATGTCCTCCCAGTGGATCAGCGTTAACTTTACAGTCTTACAACGCTAAAATCCGGATTCTATACACTGTGATCGACAGAGAACAGATAGTATATTGTTTATCTTTGTACTAAAACACACAATCCTCAAGCTATTTTTCAGTGACTAGAGATAATATATTTTATGGAAAAGCAGTCTAAGTATGTTAGTAGATATATATAGAAATCTTAAACAAACAACTTTCAACTTTGATACTGGCCGTTGTGCCGCTGTTATCATTTTAGTAGAGTTACTGCTATTTTTGAATGTATAAATGTGTGTATATATCTATATTCTCTAGTCTTATTTGTTTGTTTGTTTTAGCGCAAGGCTATACTATAGACTATCTACGTCAATAGTCTTAGCGTTGTAAGTCCATAAACTGACCACTGAGTTAGTGGGGAACATTCTCAAGTAACCAGGTGTAAAAATGCTCGATAGTTTATATATAACTGCTCTTTAGTAAGATCAACTGATCTATACTGTTAAAGTTGGAATTAAGTGCTGACCAAAAAAATCTAGCGAAATGACTAGAGCTTCATGTTTACTTGGCATCTTGAACTATATTTCTGCCAACCGCGGATATTGATATCAGGATTTTTAACGTTATAAGTTTTCAGACTTGCAGTTGAACCAACAGGGGCTCTTGAATTAAGCTAAATTGGCTTAAGATTAGACGAGATATTCTTTTATTGCCTATTACAGAAGAAGATATATTTTGTGAACTTGATTGCTGGGCGTTTCCAGGTGGTTGATATACCGGGACTTCGAATCACTCCTACCCTCCTCCATCCTTACCATAAAAATACGCTCTGGACTTTGGGAGCTTCTGTACACTATAGGAGTGTGACGGTCAAATCTTACTATTCGATCAGATTAGGGTAGCCCGAGAACTGACGGTGACGCTGTTGATTAGCTGTATTCAATATAGTCTGTCTTGTTGATTAGCTGTATTCACTCTAGTCTGCCCTGTTGTTAGCTGTATTTACTCTAGTGTGTCCCGTTGATTAACTGTATTCACTCTAGTATCTCCTTTTGATTAGCTGCATTCACTCTAGTCTCTCCTGTTGATTAGTTGTATTCACTCTAGTCTCTCCTGTTGATTAGCTATATTCATTCTAGTATCTCCTGTTGATTAGCTGCATTCACTCTAGTCTCTCCTGTTGATTAGCTGTATTCACTCTAGTATCTCCTGTTGATTAGCTGCATTCACTCTAGTCTCTCCTGTTGATTAACTGTATTCACTCTAGTATCTCCTTTTGATTAGCTGTATTCACTCTAGTTTGTCCTGTTCGAAATTAGGCACGGATATACGCAAATTGCTCATTGCGTAGTTTTACATGAAGTTCTGAAACAAGCAAACAAATTGTGAACTTGACAGTGCCTAATCTTTTTTTAAGACCGAATAGTAAGTAAAATAAAAATAACAGTTCCTGAACTATTCAAAAAGTTATACTATACATAAAATAAATCACAATTTTGTGAAAGTTAAGTTGATATTGATTTAGTGGCGTAATATGAACTTTACCTAAGTATTATACATGTTAAGATTTCGTGTACAAAGTTGAATAATTTATATTTTAGATAAACAAACCGGAATAAAACTATATAATTTTTATTCTGCATCTTTTACCGTGTTATATTTCTTACTTAGATATATATTATTTCTCTATTCTTTTTTTTCTCTTTTATTTTTACAGAAAAGATAGTTGGCGTTGCTGGATTCAAAGTAGCGTTACCATGTAATATCACTTCACCAGCTCCAAACGACGAACTTTTGCTTATATTATGGTACAGAGGAGACACATCCAACCCGTTATACACCATGGATGCTAGACAAGGTGTTACTAATCACTCTCGACATTCTTCAGCTGATACCTTGTATGGTAGAGCTTACTTCAGTGTTGTAGATAGACCGGCCGTACTGATCCTGGAGCCAGTCTCTGCAGGAGACGCTGGAACCTACAAATGCCGAGTAGACTTCCGAGTTGCTAGAACAAGATATTCCAAAGCGGAGTTGTCAGTAATTGGTAAAAAACTGTGAAGAAAAGTAATGTCTGAAATTTACTGAGAGAAAACGAGTATTTATTGCATTTTATTCTAACTGTAGAAAATTGCAGTGGTGGTTAATAAGGAAATTTCACAAAGCCAGTATTTCAGTACAAATTTAGTATCCTAGTAAAAAATAATAAGTACACTTTTTAATGAAGTTTGTGTTATACTAAATACACTTTGTTTTCTTCAAATAACACAATTCGTCACATAAATAATCATGTATTAAAATCATTGTTCTGTATTATTTCCGTTAGGATAATTTTTTAGGGCAAATCCACATTGGTTTATCTACTGTGTCGACCACGAGGAATTGAACCCCAAATTTTAGCGCTGTAAGTCCGTAAAATTACTGCTGACACATCGGGTCCCGTTAGGATGAATAAACGTAAAATCAGATGCAATTATTTTTCACAACGTGAAATGTATTACGACAATTAATTAATATTTTGAAAATTGTATAATAAGTTAAAACTTATAATAGAGATTTTTATCAAAAAATTTCAAATATTTCTGAGATTCTTCATTTTTGTTAGTTTCTCATTCAAGGAATTGTCTACAATGTATAACATAACATAATGTTTTGGGACAACATGAGACCTATTGGTCTATCTCAGCTGTTCCATCCTCTAAACTAATTTTTTTTTTTAAATCTTAATACAACAATCCGATCCCCCCTCCTTAAATCTTTATTTTTCATAAGACTACAATTTAAGATATTTCAGCCTCTCCTCTTATGACAGCCCCTCCATCCCAGGCACCATTCTAGTAACACTTTTCTGAATCCTTTTCAAGGTAATAGTATCTCTCTTTCACTATCTCAACATACAAGTTTATATTATGTTCATGTTATAGCATGTTCTTTTGCTATATTTGATACTAGAAATATTACATTAATTTAATTTTGAAGAGTTTTATTTTCAGTTCTTTTTAAATTGAAAATATTCCCTCTAACTTACGTGTGCATCCTTTTAACTGTTTCCATGTCTATGAAACTTTTCTGAACTTTAGTTTCGTTTGGAGTTTACTTACTGATTATAAGTATTATTTTATTAGAAGTTACAACTTTTACACTATGGAAGAATATTTTTCAAACAAGTACGACGTATGGATTACAGGTGCGATCATTCTCAAGTAAACACGTTTTAACGGTAAAGAATGCTTTAGTGAAACTTTTGTATTTAAGAATGATCACACCAATAATCGAGAGGTCGTACCTGTTTAAAAAAAACTATTCATCCTTACTGCAAAAGCTGTAACGTGTAATAAAATAATTTTGCTGAATTTTATTTCCATTTTTTCTACACCATTAATATCGAATGCATTATACAGAATTTACTAATAAACGTTCAAAACGTACGCTAGTGTGCTTCACATATTACACCCAGAACATCAACAAAACTTATGTAAACTTGTAAGTAGGTGGATAGGTGCATAGGTGGAGTTAGATCAAATATGCTGATTTTAAAAAATATAGATTTGCATATAATTAAGCTTATTCATTGATCGTCCACAAAAGCTAGATATACCAATAAACTTATGATTATTGAAAAAACATTTTTTACCGGTGGATCAGTGGTAAGTTTACGGAATTACAACGTTAAAATTTTGTGTTCGATTCCCCAAGGTAAACAGAGCGCAGATAATCCATTTTGTAGCTTTTCGCTAAAAACAACAATACAAAGAAAAATATGCAAAAATTATATTAAATTTCCACTTTTATTATATCAATCATGAGCTAAACCTTATTTGAATGAGATACTACGTGTTGCAAACATAATGAAAATTGTTCTAATATTACAATGATCACATGGTTTATAAAATACAAGCGCAATTATCCATCTTTTACGACAGTATCATACAACTCGCATTGTACAACTAACATATTATGCTAGTGTGGATATCTTTAAAATTATCCAAATGAGGGGATGAGGACGTCAAACTGCTAAGTTCAAAAGCAGTGTTGTATAAAATTAAGAAACATATTATAAAACTACTATTATAAAGTTGAGGCTGTTTTGTCAGCAGCTTTCAGAAAGCTCTACAACAAAAATGTCTGATTACCCATAATTCAAAGACTCGAATTATAATTTTTGTTAAGTTAATTGATGGTTATTTTTATTATTTTTAATATTGCAAAATAGTACCTTTCATACGTTTGTACCCTTTTTATCGACCACGATGGTATTTTAAATTCTCACCTTGCCCTGCGTCATCAATCATGTTAAAATGTTACAGTTAAACGTTAATGCGTAATAAAACATATTTATTCTTACGAAAAATCGTATTCATATCTAATATAAGTATTTAGCGAGTTATGCATAAGGAAACATATTTTGTAACCCACACACATCCTTTAACATAAAATTTCAGAAATCTTTACTTTTGTGTAACGTGTTTGTTTTAAGAAACGTAATGACTAGAATGACTTTATGAAATGTATTTACAGAGAATCTTTAATACCTGAAATACACTAAACTAAAAATTACTGGAGTATTTAAATGATAAGTTTTTCTTAACTTGCTTAACAATGAGATTGAAAATTTTTATAACCAATCAATTTATCATCATATTTGCAATTAACAATTCTTTCTTGTGCTTTCTTACAAATTTGAGATAATGATACGTCATTTAACGCGTTTTTATAAGATCTTGTTATTTTGTTCTTGTAGATAGGAATGACGCAGTGCATATTTAGCAATACATATGATAGTAATTGACACAAGGCTAACTATTTCGGAACATTGCCAGCGTAATGGCTAAGTCCTCTTCGAAATATTTAAGTTTTCGATTTCACACAAAGTTGCTTGGTACATTTCATAACACATTTCGTTCATTACGCATAATATACATATTTTAACAGTACCATTTGTAAATTGATACTTCAAGTTGTAAAATACAATAACCATTTCATAGTCTGTAAAATTAATGTCATCATTAAACCAGAATGAACCTTAAGACACCTCATATTTCAAAGTATGAAATATTTATATAAGTTCTTTGACATACCATTCTACTGTTATAACTTAATTAAGAGACTGGATGCTTATGCATAAACTTAATTATATAGTCGTATACTCTTCTAATTTATGTTAATATGCCACCCAGTAAAAGGCAGCTAACGTGTTGTATACAGTTTGCAGTGTATGAACATGCGTATGTATGTCAAGGGGTGTTTTAAAGAAGAATTCAACATTAGTAGCATGCAAGGTATTGATTTCAGTTATTCATGGAATGTTGACATGTCACACAGAAAAGTATTAAAGTTGAGCTTAATACCTGACAATATTGCATCTAACTGGTGAAAGCATAAACTTAGTTATTATATCTTATCATGCATTATAAATCATTTATCATTTTCTTCAGTTCCACCGATGAAACCTGTAATCACGGACGTAAATGGGAATGTTTTGGAAAGTCTAATAGGACCTTATAATGAAGGAGAAAGTTTGACGTTATTTTGTGAAAGCGAAGGAGGTATGTTTAGCTTTCGAGGCAGTGGAGAGTAATTCTTATCGGACTAAAACTCTTTAACACAATAAGTATAGGTGTGTGAGTGTGTATAAATGTATGTAAACATTTCATACCAGTTATGTCAACCTTATCTCATAAGGAAATATAACGTTACCTTGGCTGATATTTCTGAAGTAAATTTTTCTGACAATAAGATTATAAGTAGAAATCTCTGCGCATACAAGATAGATAAATAAAACTAAAGAACAAACTACAATTTGAGAAATAAAAATAGCAAGAAGAAGGACCCACAGAGCGATGTGGTAAACATGTGTTGTCTATGAGGCACGAGGCCTTATTTCTTTCAGTAATCTCTATAAATGAAAGCCTAAAATACATTAAGAGCAGATATGGGTATACAAACTCATGTTAAACTGCCATTCGTTATCTGCAGATAGTTGTGAAAAGATCACATGAAAACTAATAAAATCAAAATAGTTAAGTAAAAATGTAACCAGATCATTGAATTAAGGGATAATTAAAACCTACTCTCTAAAGTCAACATTTTAGACGTATATGAATAGATTAATAAAACGTAAGGTGTTTGAGATTACTACTGCTTAAAATTGAAAATACTATTTTTCTTCCAAAATTCAATTATAATAATGAAAAAAAAAAACTAATTCTGACCCCCTCCCACATTTTCCAGATCAATATGCTGTAAACGTGCACACTCAATTTTGTGAATGAACTGAAACACCAATATATGTTATCTAACATGCACGTACCAAATACAAAATATGATAGAGGCACAGGATTTGCAACAAAACAGGCATGGCGTAACTGAAGTAATATATATATATATACATGTGTGTGGGTGTGTGTGTGTGACAGTCTTATTTAAAGCTTCTATAAGTTATTATGACTTTTCAATTTGAACTAGCATAAAATATCCTCACCCCGCTGCGGGGTTCAAAGAACCCAATGTACCGATCAAACTCCTCCATTATCCACACTTGGTTCTATAGCTACCCCAAGATAAATCAACCCGTTAGGACACCTACCCGTGGTAATTCAGGAAGTGTACAAAGCTATTGAGTTGGGTATAAACATAGTTTCAAACATGATGCCTCGAACGGGGGAGGGCAACGTCATGTAGACACCCCCTCAAACCATTTCAAGTATTGGAGGAGTTCACGAACAAACAAACAAACACACAACATCAGTTAACATAGGATGGCATTCTTATAATGTATACTATTAAACAGTGCAAAAATTGTGAAAAATCGTTATGCTTAAGTCTTATACTTGTAGCATGTAACATGTAAAAGCTGAAATGAAATTGTTCAGTTTATTTCAAATGCTACAAAATTTAAGTAAAGGAAAAATTATCACAGTGAAGTAATATAGAAATATTACTAAATCCGTTAGTTCATGCGTAACGGATAAGAAAAACACTTTCTAAAACTTTGCATAAAGTTGTTTACTATTACACCATAAATATCATCAGCAATAAGAACAAAAATCAGCTTTAGCAACTGTTTGATGTACAGCATAGAGTTATTCTACTATAATAGTTTTCAAATAGTGAAGAATGTGTATCTCGCATGAATAGTTTCTGATTCTAGAAAACTTCGGTTATAAACAATAGTTAACCAATAACTGAAAATTATTCCCTGTAAGAAAGAACAGAAGAACGTATTCTGACGTTTAATAAATCGATTTGTTAACAAATAAACAGCTGCATAAAACCACAACAGAGTAAATGCCTTCATGTGCAGTTTTTCACTCATTTAGAAGAAATGTTTTGATATTATCTGGATGGGTGTAGATTAGAGAATAGAGTGTTGGACTATGAATTGGAAGGTATACAGTTCGACCTTTATAAAACTGACAATCAATTTCCTACTCTTTTATGAGTAGTTTTGTAGGTGGCGGTGCTGTTGACTGGTTGCATTTCCTATGTTCAGGTTAAAAGTAGCAAATACTTGATATTTTGTCGTTTTTCTTTTTAAACTTCACAAATGATTTGTAACTTAGATGTGGAATGTTGTAGACTTGATCACTCGTAACTATTTCAATTGGTTTTAGTTTTAATTTTTCGTTTTAAATGTATTTCGCATGAAAATCTTGTTAATAGATGTTAATCTCCAGTCTGTGTTAGTCCTACTCCATAGTAACCTTTCTTACTATATACATTTTACTTTCCTATATTTGAATTTTTATCATAGTTCTATGTATCTGTCTTTTACGTGCTATACTTTTACTTTTTTGTGTTGTTATCCGAAAAATTTACATAAATGTAGTGCTATTTAAGATAAAGAATAATTAGATAAATTAAACAGTTACATTGGCTTGACTAATACAGATTTATGAGTCGTTCAGGAACAAAGATATTTTTCTATATTTGCTACATGTGAATAAATTGCGGCCGATTAATGACTAGGGTAATAGGTCAATATTTCTTCACTACTAGAAAATGTTATCTTAAAAAAACAATAGTGCCAGATCCCACATTGCCCTACTTATGATGACTACAGAGAACAACTTCAGGGTGTACACCCATTCCAACTCGACAGTTGCTATTATCTAACAACCTATGACTTCTATTGTTCTGGTTGTTTAAGGTTTGTCTGCGTGGACAAACTTCAAAATGAACAATGTTCTTAACAATCTGTATGTAACTAGATGTATAATCAACTATATCTTTTAAAGAAATGGAATAATAAGAAATCGAAACGTCGAAAGAAATCTATTATGCGTAATGATGACACTGAACGTTTGCTGCTAGTTTAATAATACTTGTATCTGAAAAAAAAAACCCAAAAAATGGTACTTTCTAAGCACTCTCGTGACTAAATAATAGCTAAGCTCACGTATATTGTTTAATTTTACTTAATCATTGTTTATTTAAACGTCGCTGTAAAGTTTAAATTCTTAATCCATCTTTTTTTTATTTTACTGATTATTGAATTGTTTTACAACACTCTTCAACGAAAAGCAATTTCTGTTGCTAGGTGAACCTCCTTCTTCCGTCACCTGGTGGAGAGACTCGAACCTGGTGGACGAAAGTTTTCAGATTATTTCTCACTCAGTTGTCCAAAATATCATGGTAATTCCAGAATTAAAAAGAGAACATCTTATGAATACATTTACTTGCCAGGCAACCAATAACAACCAATCACAGCCTGTTTCAACGAGTGTAACGATTGATATGAATTGTGAGTAGTAAAGATTTAAGTTAATACAAAAGTATTCTATCTGAAATAAAATACCAATGTTATAAGACGCCGATATAGGGCTATAATATACTGAATTCCTTATTCTGATTTACTGTATCCAACATTATCGGAGTTACCTTCTATCTGTCTTTAGTGGTTATTACCTGGTTCGATAAACAAATATGTATAGTATAATTTTATCAACGCAAAGTACGCTCTTTTTAAGTTGCATTCAACTTTGTGTTCTACTTTTAAATACATTTATGTTCTCAATCAAAAGCGTCATTGATATGGTGGTCAATGAAAACAATTGAAATATATCTCCGATAAACCTAGACACTCCTTAATTACCTCGGGAAGCATTTTAAAACCGAAATGACAACTTGGAAAATTATATATTATCTTGAGGTTGCAAATATACATTTGTTTTGTTCTTTATAGAGCGAGCTGTAATAGCTAGATCCAGTCGAGTGATATTGATTACACATTAAGATATATTGATGACTTGGCCGTAGAAAGTAGTGCCAACATCGCTCAAATAATAGATAATATTTTCCAAGAAACTCTTTAATAGTACATGTTACAACAATCATTAATGCTGCATATAATTTAAATATACTGTACTTAACAACTAGTCCCTCTAGTTAACAGTCCTGACGATGGAGTTGAAATTTCGCTTCTGTTTCTTATAACTTATTCCCATTTAATGCTGTACCATGGGATAAATATAAGTAAACGACTTTCACCGCATATAAATTAGTCTACAGTAAATGTTTCTAATTAATGTTATATTTTTACTTACATAATGAAGCTTTTAATAAATTAATTCGTAAAACTTATAAATTGTTTTATTATGTATTTGAGTCAATGATTTTACAATGTACAACTTTTAATGATTTCTTCAGCGTTTTGTTACATTATAACACATAGATTCAGTAAGGGTGTTTACTGAATGCTTTACTGTTTGAAGAAAATATCAGTATAGAAATATCCATTACATTTACTTTTTATTATATAGTACGTTTTACATTCAGTCGACTTCTGCATTTCTCACTATATACCATGACCAATTATCTTTCTCGTTTTTTTCTGTTTATTATTAATATTTTCATTTTGAACTGATTATGTTAATAAGTTTTGTTAGCTGGTATTTGGTGCTTTCATGCTACTTCTTTAATATACTTTATGTAGCTTTGCATTTACTGTCTTCTTCAGAGAAGGTCCAAGTAAAAAACAAGGCCAACAAAAGAAAGATAAAAAAGACAACATATTGTGGTTAACGAAGAAGCTGCTGAATTTTTTGTTTGTTCTTTATAGATGAACACACATAGAAATAAGGAGTGAGATATGGTTTTTAACAAATATCAGAATATATAAACTAAAATATATTTCCCAGCAAACGAAAAAAGATATGAACTTAAAATAAAATAAGTTCATCGTAGAATTTAAAACAATTAATTTTAAAGTATTAATAACATAACATTTGCTTGAGAGAACTGGTTAAGTAAGCTGGGAATATTAATATATTTTTCAAAATACCTTTAAGCCTTATAAACAACTACAGCGTTTTATATATATATATATATATATTAATCCTTTTTCTGAGACTTACCCAAGTATGTGTTTATCTAATTTTGTTCCAGTTATTGGTTTTAGATTGACTTGCCTTGCATTTTATAAGTTTTGCCAGAAAAAATAACTTGACTACCTAAATTTAGTCTTATCTATTTTAAATCGATAATGTTTAATTTAATGCATTCGTTCTGAACGTTTCATAATTTGTTTATATTTTCACTACGTAATGGATGGCTATTCATATTTTATTATGTACTTTTTACTATTTTTTTTATTATATATATATATATATATAGATATGTATATTTATTTTTACAACTTTGTCTCGTTTATGAATACAAGAAATCACTCTCTTATTCAAGGTGGGAGGTTTAAAAAAATCTTGTATATTAAAACTGCACAGTATACAGCGTAGAGGTATTTCAAATATTGCTTGAAAATGTCTTTCCAGTTTTTAATATCATGAAAACAACAGTTTTGTTAAATCTAAAAAATATGGTAGAGGCGAGAAAAAGAATGAAAACCTAGAAAACAAACAAACAAAACAGCTTTCATTGCAAAATATACATATATTGCATAAGGTTGAGTGACATAAATTTAAAACCTTTTAATGTGCCAAACAGGATTGTATATAAAACTTTTTACATAGGAACAATATATGCCACTTTTTATAACTCATGCATCAAGAAGTTATAGCGTAATACATCTATTATGTAATACTATCACTAAAGTAAGAAATATATATATATATATAAGGCACCAGCTGCACGGTAACGTATAGTAGCTGAAAGTCACTGCGAAACTGATTATATTAAGGATTAAAATCCGTCAAGCCTGTAGGCCTATTTAACTACGTCAGAATATATGTTAAAGAAAACAGCGCTCAATTCGCATTTTCACTTTGAATAAATGCTCTACATCTTAGTTTCATGATGAAGCATATATTATCACAAGAAATGTTTCACCTTAAGTTTTAAACAAATTATTCGCTTTTTTATGTTTTAAAGTACATTATACAGGAACTGAAAATAAAAACTACGGAATACATTTCCAAATTCGAAAAAAAATTTAAAAAACAACAACAAACAAACACGTTGAACTTTTCTTGCAATTAGTTGGGCAATTGAAACTTTATATAGCTTATGCAATTACTACGCATTTTTGTTACAATAAACTATTTGAAACATCCGTGTTTCAAACACAGGTATCCATGTTTCTTATCGAACAGAATTAAATTACTTTTACAGCATTCTGTAGTATTTAGGAAATAGCATCTTTATATAAAAACTAATTATCAATGATAATGAATCAAATGTTTCATTACTTCATCTCTTGTTAAGTAATAACAACATAAGATGTACACAATGACATCTACCGGATATCTTAACTTATATATTACTTTTACTTCTCCTTAAGTTGTGGCAAAAGTTTTAGTTTAGTTGTCGGAGTGTTTCTAATATCTGAAAAAAAGTATCTTTGTTTAGACATTTATATCTAAGTTAGTTATTTGATAGACCCACTTATATTTTTAGGTGACCCCGTACAAACATTGAATTTTATTAAAATTGTTTATCATTATTTCTGAAGAGTTATGTCCTATTTTCATTGGTTTCCTATGTCTTTTCATTTACCATTAAAATTAGTCTAGGTTTTAGAGTTATAGCATTTTATGTATATAACAGAGCATGTTTGTTTTATCACTACTGTGTGTTTTTTAAATTGTTTTATTTTGCTTTTTTTTGTTAAACCGGTAAGATTGTGTCACTTACTGTTTCCGGTTTAAATACACAGTCAAGCCTCTTGGTGTGTGGATTGACAACAACAATCGACCACTATCCGCTGAGAAACCGAGCAAACTGGTTTGTCATGGAACAGGCTCGCGCCCTATTGCGCAGTTATCTTGGTGGATTGGAGGGAAAAAACTTCAGAGTGCCAAAAAGCGATCTTCGTTCGACGCGAATCACATTGGTAACAAGACCACCAGTGTTCTTATTATCAAACCTAACATAGACGACAACGGAAAGTACTTATCATGCAGGGCTGAAAATCCATTAATCCCGGGAAGTGCAGTAGAAAGCGGTTGGAAGTTGGATGTTCATTGTGAGACCACTTCACTTACGTATATTTCCTGATAAAAGTGTTTGTTATTTTTGATAGCTCTATGTCATGCAATATAACTACGTGCAATCGAAAATGCGTTGGTATTATAAATACGTATATTTCTATTGGATGTTGATAAATTCATATCAGTATAATTATGTATATATATATATATATATATATATCAAATATTACAGCAAATACTTCATTAAAAAATTATAATATTAAGTGCAATGTAAATGTAAGAAACGGTTCTTTATATATTTCTATTTAGCTTAGAGAGAGAAAAAAGCAATCTAAAATACTCTTATGTTCTAGACATCCCTCAACTTAGTCTTCGACTTGGAAGCAAGCTACGTCACAGTCATATTCAAGAAGATAATGATGTCTACCTGGACTGTACTATTCAAGCCAACCCTCCAGCGTCTGAAATAGTTTGGAAATTTGAAGGTAGTGAGCTTAGCGCCAATTCTTCGCTAGGGATTATAATCAGCAATCAATCTTTAGTGTTACAGAAAGTTAAGCAGAGAAACAGAGGAGATTATACCTGTTTAGCATCCAACAGTGAAGGAAGAGGAGAGAGCAATATACTATTTCTCAGAGTACAGTGTAAGCAATCAACTTAATATACTCTATAAAATCTTTGGATATGTTTCCAGAGAAATCGATACCTGTAGCTTTCCTTTTAATCCTATTCTTTATTTTCCATCACCATTTACTCTAAAAAAGTTTGAATGGTCCATCTTTGTTCAAGGGCGTGTATGGACAATCACCCAATGGTCCATCTTTGTTCAAGGGTGTGTGTGTGAGCAATCATCCATAATGATTTTCTAACGCTAGTGTTACCGACAAGCAATTTTCTAAATGCCATTTTCTTAATATAAAATGTTCTTTCCGTGTCTTATACTTTGTTGTTGACTAGCTTTTGTTCAATTATACAAGTCTTCTTATCAATGAAGCTTAAAATTTCATATACAATCAAAATATCTTATATGTTTAAAGCACAGTATTTTCTCGCTGTTTGTACACTATTGTATTACTATTACTATTGTATGTGTGGCTTATTTTTAATGTGATCTTATCACCTGTAAATATATTACATTAGTCGCTTTGTAATCAATCCACGATAATGATATTAATAGTTTTCGTTGAATATGAAATTCAGAAAAATTATCATTTGCTTAAAAGAAATTAAATAAAGAAAAACCAATTTTTGACGCATGACATTAATATTTAAATAGTTTACCAACATTGAGTTCGATGGTCCCAACGACCACGCAAAGGTTACAGATGTTATCCTGTAATTCGTGTATTAAGTATTATATACTTGTGTAACTGGTAGTCACAACGATAATGATATTAGAGCTTACAAGTGACTTTCGACTTTAAACAAAAGCATTTCTCAGCTAATTAGTAAAAAATAAAAAAATAATTATAGATGTCATAAAATTACGAATCAAATAGTAGTCACAAGTGACTTAAAGTTCTACAATTTTCGTTCCGGAAAGTTATCTAGTTTAAACTAAAGGGTTTCTTGATAGTTTGCTCATTATACCAGCTTAGATAAAACATATTGTTTTTGAAGAATATTATGCATCATATAAAAACTATTTTCTTTGTCTTCCACTGAATATGGAATAATCATAGAGTGTTTTCGTGTTAATAAAGAGTTTTCAGAGAATATACGTGTGTTAATACTCAAAATTTAGAAAAAAAAATGATTATTTCAACAACTAAGGTAATTAAACGTCTTTTCCCTGGAATATCGTACGAATAATGGACTTTTAAAAGTCTATGGTTGTAGTTGCTTACTAAAATAATATATTCCACAAACACAATGCTTGAAGGTATACGTGAGAAATATTAGCACGTATATATATATATATGTTAAGATTATTGTCTACTTTATTTCATATTTTACATAACTTAGCGTATCGTCTCTAACAATGCTCACAACAAAAGTCAGGCTATAAATTAATTGGTTGCTACAAGTTTACTAGCTTTCAACGAAACATAAAGTAATATTTTGATGATCGCTAGAGATATACTAATCAAAAGTAACACCAAATATGTCACTCGTGTGAAAACACGAATATCCTGAGTGAATATAATCTGTATGATAATACACGCCACCTCTGTAACAAAACGTGTAAGCTATGCAATAACATGTGTTAGCGCGTATTTCTTGGCTGATAATGCATACTACATGTGTAATAACGTGTTACCTTTATTTATGAGAACGAGTCTAGTCAGTATAATAACGTGTGAATAGTGGCCTGCATAGCGACTTCTTCAGATCAAAATATCATGTTGAATTGTATCAAAATTACAGGAACGATGTTTAAATCGATGTTATAAACTCTTCGTTAAACTCCAAACTTTCATGATCCATTCCCTTTCTCTTTTCACTATGGAATTGCCAAAATATTAAAATCTATTTTGTGCTAGTGTAAACCAAATGTTTGACTAGATTTTGAACTTTCTAGAGATGCTACTAGATTAACCGGTTTTCAGAAGCGAAAATCACTCATGTAGACACATTAATTGCAAGCATGGCGTGTTTCCGAATCTGATAATTTCACACAAAGAGTGTTCTTAGATTATAATTAATTCGCGCTCACCCTTGACGTAATAGCTCAGGTACGTACTGTTTTAAAATAATTAGTACATTATGTTTCCTGTCAAAAACAACGTAATAAATTGGGTCTTTAATCTTGTATTTAAGCAAACGTAAATATACTTGATGCCAACATAACATTTTTCTGTTTAAAATTATGTTTATAATGTATTATATACAATATATTTCATATGAAATATATTTTGATTGCTGAAATACTTAAACCGACAAAAACCAGACATGTCCAAAATACTAACACAAAGAATATAGAGAAATCTATAAGTTACTTGCTACTACAGGCTTATTTTTGATTGCTGAAATACTTAAACCGACAATACCAGACATGTCTAAAATACTAACACAAAGAGTATAAAGAAATCTATAAGTTACTTGCTACTACAGGCTTATCCAAAAGTGAATATATTGATTTACATAATATGCTCTAGGCTGGACTGTAGCACTTCTGTTAATTTTCGTGAAAGGTTATTATAGTCAGTTATAACGATATCCAACAAGCTGATTGAGGAAACAATACATAATACATTGGACAAATATATAAGTACATATACATATATTTAAATTATTTTACCTCTCGTTGACTCAGCTATAAGTCTGAAGTCCTATAAAGCTTAAAAATCTGGTTTCGATACCCGCGGATGACAGATCACAGATAGTCCATTGTTTAGCTTTGCGCTTAAAAACAAACAAAAACTGTATTTTTTTATTCACCAATTATTGTACAGTATTCACTTGTCATTCTAACTTTAAAACAATATTTAGCTTCGTTTAAGTTTGTAGTTTTATAATTCATACTTCTATCTTCCATTTAGATAAACCACGGTGCAACAGAAGACAGCGGCTTCTCTACGGAACAGCAAGGAACGAACCTGTTAAAGTATCTTGTGAGGTTGACTCCGACCCAGCTAGTGTGAAGTTTCATTGGCAGTTTAATAATTCAGGACATGTAGTTGATATCACGGACTATAATTCTGAAAAATCTAAAAGCGTCGCATTCTATACTCCCAGAACCCAGTACGATTACGGCTCACTACTATGTTGGGCAACAAATTCCGCCGGTTTGCAAGATATCCCATGTGTATTTAGCATAATACCTGCGGGTAAGCCGGTGTCAGCTTGATTATATTTCTTTTACATTTTAGAATTTTGTTTTGTTAAGCTTAACCATCTGGCTTGTCACTTCGGAAACTGGGTATTATATTTCCCAGTTCTGAAATGTGAGTAGTGTTCAGAAAAACCTAGACTGGGTTACTTTAAAACATGTTGGTTCTTACAGTTTTCTTGTAAATACAAAACTTTAAATTGACATAACATTATCCTTCCAGTTCCAAAAACTTTCACAACCGATGGTATTTCTTTTAATGGTTATTAATATGTAATCATTTCTGATTTTTCTATAACTTTGTAATGTTATTATTTTGTCTGATAAACTAACCATTCTTATCAGAGTACAAAATATACAAGCTACGAATAGGATGATAATCTGACAAGGTAATCAGAACATAATTCCAAAAGAACTTTTTTTTTTCCAAATCCTCCACATGTGCGATAAATAAACATATTCAAATTGTTCACCTTTGTGAGTGCGAAAGAAATATTTGACGGATTATCTTTTATTTCTAAAAATATAATGAAAGTTCGATTACTAAATTTTGAGAGCTATAAATTTGATTAATGCTAAACATAATAAGTAAGTGGCTACTAATTGAATACACTTATAAACGTTAGAATATTTTTTCCAGATATAATGTTACTTTTACAACTAAGGTGCATCAGTTAGACTGTTATAAACACAAACAGCAACACTGTATCATTTCCGCAAAGTTGATTAGTGGATACAAGCTTAGGCAAAATCTAAAAATCTTTAATAACAAAAACTTGTTACAGTATGCTAAGACAACCAGCTAGAGTTTCAGTGAACAGATAAATATTACAAATATTATTATTTCCTGCACATTTATATATACATATACTTATAAATACAAGTTATATTATATACATAGATCCATCTACAAATATATAACTAGCATAAACAATTTCTGTTTATATCAGTATTAAGCATTTTACCTCTCTTTGTGCTTTAGGGATGTAAGGCATTCTGATGTATAATATATAGGCGAAATATCTGAGAGATATATTTAATTATAAGTTGAACATTTTCGGGGGTATGCTAAGTTCTATAGAAAATTTATAATTTTTACTTCGCTCAAAACAATATGGCATGCATGTATATCACGTGCTTTCTACACGCGTATTTAACATATCAATTTTTAAAATGTGTGTGCATAGCGTTTGTTTTCTTAATACAGAAATTCAGTCAAGGGAACTACTAGGTTCCCCTTGCCCTAGTTACTCACAGACGTATGTCAATCAATTAGATTATCACGTACATTATTATGTGGTGGAAAAATTCTTTCTACCAGCAAGTCAGATGATGTCCCAGGGATACAACATCCCTGTTTTGTATTAAGAGTGAGCATCAGTTACGTGGTAGCACCTGCTCCTGAGAAGGATGGCATTCTTGTTTTTCGTATGAAGTATTATATTTTCTCAGCCTAGAATAAGATAATAAGGATGATTTTGGATATTGAAATGTATATTAATTTGCTTTAAACACACTCAAGTAAAGGTACTTCTAAACACATCTGCTTAGGTTGTTTCACTGAGTAATGCGTCATATCTAACTTATTTCTTTGTTTCAGATTTACTTGAGGTTAAGAGAACTCTGATTTTGTGTCATCAAACATTTTCTAGGGAACATCCAGTTATTCTGTAGCTTCTACTTTATTACTGGCAGTAAAATCAGAGAACCTGAGAATATCACAGATTAGGTAGGAAGGTAACAATTTGGTGTATTGACCAAGATTTATTTATGTAGAGTGTCTGCTTTTCTCTTGACAAGTTTATTTGACCATGTTCTTCCATTCTCCTGCATTATTGAGTTGAAGTTTCGAATCTAAAGAAATGGCATATTTCATTAATTGAAAGATTCATAGTCGGGACAAAACGTTGAACACTGAGAAGCAATGACTATCAAAGACATTAGGCTTTTGCCAATGATGCAAATGTCCATGATGACTTTCTTGTTGTTACCACAGATCCATGAAGGAGAAATGTCAGAATATGATGCACTCAGAATGGCAAATAAGGTTCTCCTCCTAAGGTTTAATCTCAGTACACATGAGGCATGAATGTCTGAGAATAGCCATGGTTATGCACAGTATTGTGAGTAAGAAATCAAATGTGATACTCTCTACAGGAGTCCCAGTCATTTGCTAGCTAGAGTAGTTAAACATCAGCTCTGATCAATTAAATTCATGACAAGCTAAGATAAATTAGGGGTGGATATGTTACTAGCAGGTGTGGCAGGGGGTATATACTGTTGAAGATGTTTCTCTACAAGGAATATTATACAGGCTATACTGCTAAGGCAAACACGGGTCACAGAAAAGCATGAGAATATACTGAACCAATGAACAAGTTACTTCTAGTAACTTGACATTCTGTGACGTGAGGACAGAAATTTCACATTCATCCAAATGCATCAGTCTCTGTACAGGTGCATTATTCTGCACCCCAGTGTTTAGGACATCTCAGTCTGGTGCTGGCCAACTGTCTGTGAAAGGTTTACACTGAAACCACACATCACTTTAATAGAGGCTAAGTATATATTATTCCTGGCAGTTAAGGGTATGGAACAAGATTATCTTTACTGTTTCCTGAAGTGTTTCAGGTAGGAGGTCTCAGCCTGACATGGCTGGACCCAGGAACAGGTAACATAATGCCTGACTTTCAATAATATTGAGCATTTAAGTGAGTTACAGAATGAGATACAGTCGTAGCCAAGTGTTCAAAAGAGGGATTCATCAGAGTAATTAACTGCTTATTCTACCAAGCTGTACCTGTTTCATGGGAAGATGTACCCAATGGTGTCAACAGATTTTGAGGATATCCGCATCCATAAGGCTATAGAGGAGCTACCAGTGAGGTAATGAGGTTTAACTTGGGTTATACTCGAGAGAGATATTCTCATCATAATTGAGACAATTTATTCAGTTTCAAAGTGTTAATTTGAATATGTCATAAGAAAGAGAAAAGCCCACATCAGCAGCTGCTGTGCTTTGAACGACTCATTCTACTTAAGTGAGTACCTCATACCAAGCCTGAGTTTTATCATAGGAAAACTCACAGACAACACATTCTGGCACTGCAAAACAACATCATTGGTTTCCAGTGAAAAGTCAAGGTTTTTTAGTTCCACCCATAGTATTCGTGTTGTAGCCAGTACCACTGAAACCTCCACTCTGGAAGGGAGGGCTAAAACATTTGCTTTGGGTTTGGGTAGCAGTGTCATTTCAAAGTGAAATGTCTATGCCTTCCCATGTAGCAAGATAGACAAAGCTACCAGTATCAAATAACTGTACCGTAGATGCAGGAAAGTTGCAGCAAGTTGTTTCTACTGCTACTTCCCTTTTAGGAAACAAAGGAGGCTTGAGTCAGGACTGTCCAATGACATAGAGGAGTGTAGCAGGCAGCTTGTGCCATATAGTTTGGTGATCAGGATTTGGTGGGAGTTAGTATGTGCCTATGGAGATTCAAGGGTGCAAGAATTTTTGGTTGATAAAGGTTCTGCCAGGAAACTGGTTGATCATTCCATATAGCAGGCAATATAAGTAAATTCACCATTTTGGCCAGTTAACATTGACTTCATTATGACAAATGGTATTAGTCTAGACATGACTAATGTATATGACTATGTATAGTTAAAATCAACCACAGGATGAAAATATTCATCTCTGACCTTGGATCTGGCATTTGTTTATTAGGGATGGGTGTACTGCAGCAATTACGAGTCATTTTTACCTGTAAACGGATGAGCTGTGTTTTCATGGTCAAATATCCAATGTCAACCAGACCAGATCCAGGAACAATAGACAACATGAATGTATCTTGCACTGGGAATAACAGTCTCTTTGTGTACACAAGAGATGTTCCATGTTTCACTGTGGATGTGGTCTAATATGTCGGTGCTATATGGCACTGTGATATAACCAACACAACATAAAATGAACTGTTTAATGATGCCAAAAAGCAGGCATCGTAAGCTTATATAGTGATCTGACAAAAAAAAGAGATGAAATTCTGGTGTTCTGTAATTATGAGTAGTTAATTATCTAGCTTCCTGCTGGAATGGTCATTAGAATGACAAGAAAAGTGTAGTTAGCCAAATATAGCAGTTTTAATAATATTATTCATATTATGTTGCATTTCGAAACAAATACTTGCTTGCTTATAAATCTGTGCAAGCAATATTGATTCAACACAGCAAAAGAAGCTCAGTGACCTGTTTGTTGACTAGGCCAATGTATTTGTGGAACCAGAAGGCTTACTAAGTTAAACAGAAGTAATATGTCATCATATAGATACAGGTGGCACACATCGAATTGACTAACCATGTCACAGGTTTTCGTGAGACACTTGATATATATCTAGTGCCAAAACACAGTGAATGTCTGTAATTTTCAAAGAATGTCTGGTCATCTCCAGTAATTATTGTTAGTAAGAAGGAGGGCACACCAATCGTCTGGGTTAATTTCAAAAAGGTGAACTACATCAGTGCCTTTCCACTGCTATGGACAGATTAATTTCTGGATGCATTGTGAAGGATCTGATGGTTCAATACTTTAGACCTGCCATCCAGTCAAGTTTGGCTTTAAGAGCAGGGCTAAAAGGCTTTCAAGGCAATAAAGAAGCTATCTATGAGATTTACATTATGCCATTTGACCTGTGGAATATACCTGACACTTTTGAGGGATCGACAGAACTTACACTGAAAGAATTGAAATGAAAAACATTTCAAGTCTATGTCTATGATGTATTAGTGTTTACTCACATTTTGAGATAACTTATGAAAAGCTGAGAATGGTATGTCAGCAGATGATAACAGCAGGTTTAAACCTTTGCATCGATTGGGAATCAAAGTGCACATATCACTATATTTTTATGGAATAAATTAAACATGTAATTATATAAATTTTTTACCAATGTATGCTAATAATCATGGCATCAAAGCATAGGATATAATTTAAATCTTTATAAG